GGCGCTGCCAGGGGGAGGACGGGGGGGGGGGGGAGGGGAACGACGAGGTCACTCACGAAGCAGCCCATTGGCATTCGCTCGGCGTCTTCGCAGCTTGAGCCGGGAGGGAAGGTGGGTTGGAGCTTGCTCTAATCGGCGCTGCGCTTCCCGGACCGTTCGTGCCACCTTCCTCGCTGAGCCATTGGCAGGAAAGCGCCCGCCTAAAATTGCAATCCTGCATGGGCTTATCTAGGAAAACACTGTCGAATTCCTCGGGGTTTACTTCTGAAGAAACGAGGACTGGATTGATTACGGAAAAGAATGGTAAAAATGTGACCCGGGTTCCGCTCCCTGCACTGAAGTCTAATGTCGGTCACAAAGCAGATTATGGCGCAAGCCCCTGCGGATATAAATCACTCAAGTTCAGTGAGGCTTGCTCGCAGGTAAGCCTTATAAGAATAGGATTCTTTGAAGGTTGGGGAAAACCTGGCCAGAATGAACACATTTGCAAAGACATTGAGGCAGGAAGAACGTGGGATGTCTTCGAGATAAATGAAAACATGTAACAACTGTAGCGTTTTTAGAACAATTTTACGAACCCCTTAATCCCTCTAAACTAAACAGAATAGGATAAAATGGTCCAGAACACCATCTTTCCAGCTAGGTTAACAAAATCAAACGGCACACTAGGAGGCATAGATACAATAAGGGCCAAAATTTCCATGGAAACACATTCCCAGGGAAAAGGCTGTATTTCAAGCCTGTAACTCCAGCTTCCCAGCCAGTCAAAGTAATCATATTCAACAAAGATACACGACTGTTTTAGAAAATGGCTCGGAATGCCGATTTCCAGTCAGCCAGTCCAACTAAAATCACTAGTCATATAAAACTAGAAGGAATTGGTACTGTAAAAATGGAAGTCTTCCATGGAAATCACAGACCATAACTAATTGTAGGCAAAATTCTCTTGTTTTTTTTTAACTCCTGGGATGTTAACTTGCTAGTCAGCTAAATTAACCAAATTTCACCAATTTCATAAAACTAAAGGGGAGTTAGTGCTAGAGATCCAAATTTTCTATGGCACCTATGTTCTGCCACCCACTCCAAACAAGTTGAAAAACTGTTCTGACCATCACTTCCCCAACCAGTCAAATCAACAGAACTGACAAGAAGTTGCATGAAGTTTAGAGTTTTCTGATGCAGCAGGATATAAAATATTCAAAGGAACCAAGTTCTCCTAGCCATTCTAGGCAAAGTAGATAAAGATTAGAGATGTAGGTAGGTAGGTAGGTAAGTAATGGAAAATTACTCCCATTGATGTTTTGTGTCTTATTCTGTGAAGGTCTCCTCGTTTTTTTTGGGGGGGGGACTAGTGAATAATGTATGATTTGTCTGACTGAGAAGGCTAAATACCAGGCAGTTCTGCACAGAGAGAATTATTGTACCTTGCCTCCTGGAGGAGTCTCTTCCATTGTTGAACAACCATGAGGAAATTCTTGCTGATATCCAACCATAAATATTTTTGTAATTTAAACCTATTCTTTATTGTCCTATCTCCTGGAACAAACCTGTCTTCTACATGATAGTTCTTGAGTTTCATAGCTGTCATGTCTCCCCACAAGACTTTTTCCTGGACTAAATATTTAATGCCTCCAACTGTTCCTTGTAAGTTTTATATTTTAGGTGTAGTCTGACCATTGTAGAATAAACAGTAACTTTATCTTAACCCTATACTTACGTTGATGTGGTTTAGGGACTGCATTTTTTTTTTTTTTTTTGCAGCTGCATCATACAATTGAATCATACTCAAGTTGTGATTTATCAAGAAACCCCGGTCCTTTTTGCATGTACTGCTTCCCCATGTTGTCTTTCCAATGCTGTACTCATTGTTTTGCTTATTCATATGGAAATGTAAGACTTTGCACTTGTCCTGTTGAAATTCATGTACCACTATATGCCTCTCCTTCTTGAAAATTCTGTAATCTGGTCCAGGAGGGTTTTATCCAAATCTTCTGCCTAATCTACATTCCCCCTCCAATATTATTGTTTCCTCTTCCTTGTATTCTTATCCAAATGTTCTCAATTAGATTCCCATGTTCAAATTCTTCATCTCTTCATATATGTGCACTTTCTTGTAATGCTATTCCTCCACCCCTTTTTTTCTATTTCTTTTGAATAAACCATACAGTTTACTCCACTCTGTATTTTGTCCCACCAGGTTTCAATAATGCCTGCTAGGTCATATTCCCACCTTCCTGCATTAAGATCTCTGGTTCTTCCTGTTGGTTTCCCCTTTCTCTAAGCATTTGTAGGATAACACTGAAAATTTTGGGTCATATAACTTGACCTATCTTTTCCTGTATTTACATGCTAAGTATTGGGTGACTGCATATCCTGTGTATCACTTTTAATCCCATTTGTAGTCCTTGGCATCAAACTTTTTTTTTGGCATCTCCCTCCAAACAGGCTTAATTTTAGAGCCCTCTAGATAATTGCAAGACACCTTCCAAATACATTATTCCCAGCTCTCTGAGGTGCAGCCCCATCCCTTGCCAAGAGTCTCTCAACAATAAAATGCAAATCATGATCAAAGAATCCAAACCACTCCTGTGGCACCATCTGCATAGTTCATTTCCAGTATTTTCTCTCTTCCTGGGCCATGTCCTTCAACAAGAAAGGGTGATGAAAACACCTCCTGTGCCCAGAGCAACTTCACCCTCATGCCCAATGTTTCATATGTTCAATGCAGTATCTTCAAGGCTGTGTGTGGAGTGTCAAGGCTGTGACATTTGTTCCCATGGGAATCAGTGTAAAGGATAAAAGATGTCAGTCGGCATAAAAAGTCCTGGGAGTCTCTTTGTCATATCCTAAACTTGAGCCCTAGGAAGACAATACACTTCTCTAGCCAGAATATCAGGCCAATGGATTACTGTTTTAGTCCCTCTGAATGAGGTGTCTCTAACAGCACCACTCATCACTTCTGATTCTTCAGGGCAGAGGTGGGAACTCTTTTCTTTGCAAAGCCTATAACATAGTCTTCTTCAGTCTGAAGCTTATGATAGCTGCTATTTGTCCAGAAGTCCAGAAACATAACCATAGTTCAGAAACATAATCAAGTCCAGAAACATAACCAAGAAACTCCATCAGAAAAAGAGCTCTTCTTAACAAGCTTGGTTCTTTGTGTACTCTTCCTTCAGCTCTCTGAAGGAACTACTTGTCTGTCTTCTGTGAAGCTTCACACTTTTTTTTTATTTTTCTCATCTTACCAAAGAAAAACTGTTTAGGAGGAAGAGGTATAAAAGTTCCACAATACTGATTGCAAGGTATTAACATGTTAGTAGGTGTGAAAGTGCAGATTACACCATCTATCCTGAAGACTGATTTGTGGCAATTTCTTCTTGCCCCCGTAAAAGTTATATTTTAGGGTTATACCACAATATATTTTAAAGCCTACCCAACCTAAGTAAGGCTGCATCTTTGATAGAAAATCACCAGAAAATGCCACTAGGAAATGCTCTCCTCTCCTCTCCTCTCCCCCCACCCAAACCCATTCCAGTAGAAGGCAATGGGAACCACTTATTTTATTTATTTATTTAAGCAATTTATATGGCTGCCCAATTCACTCACGGTGACTCCGGGTGGCTTACAGGAATAAAAATCCCAAATACAAAACCCACTACACCCACCCCACCCTCCTGGTGACAACAACACATTTACACTAGCCATTTGATGGGCTCCGGATTGACCTGGGATCTCCAGGTCCACTGGCAAAACCTTGTCTTCAGGGCCTTGCGGAAGAGCATCAAGATGAGAGCCAGTCTTATCTCTGTGGGGATGATGTTCCACAGGGAAGGAGCCACCACAGAGAAGGCCCTTCTTCTTGGTCCCACTAGCTGGACCTCCTTAATAGTGGGGACCCGTAACATACCCTGCCTCCCTGATCTGGTAGGTTGGGCAGATGAAACTGGGAAAAGCTAGTCCTTCAAATAACCTTCCATATTAATGTCAAGAAAACAACATGGACATATACTTAAAGAGACTTTACAGTTCACACACATACACAGGAAGGAAGGAAGGAAGGAAGGAAGGAAGGAAGGAAGGAAGGAAAATAATACACTGGATCTAGTCTTTGTCACAGGTAAATAGCGATAAAAATCAGTGAACAAAAATTAGCTACTGATTTCAATAACTCAACGTATGAGTAAGGCTGGATCTCCCCAATGTAAATAAACCTGAAGTTGCAGATTTTTATGCTTGCAAATTGTCCTATTGACAATGACATAAAAATGATGGGATAGTTCAGAAATACATAAAGCTCTGAACATTAAGACTATCTACAATAATTTTTTTTCAATCACTTGTAATATATATTAATTTTTAGATTGCAATCATGTGTAATATATATTAATTTTTAAATTGGAAATTTCACTTTAGGTAATATTTTAAACAACTTTCATAAATGCTGTAAGTAATTTAAATATATTTCACAGCTTAAGGCCATGCTCTACCAGTGCTCTCAAAGAACTGCAAAGAATAAGGGATGAAACTGCAGAGCTTGTGCATCACTACTGATGCACCTACTTGAAATGGTAGTTAACACTGATTTTCATAATATGGTTGCTGCTTTACTGATTTTAGAATTATGGATTGAATTCTAGGTTTGTCTTTAGTTCACACAAAATGTATGTATGAATTTTGCCAACTCTCTCTACCATCACAGCCTATCAAACACTATTTCTTGGATTCCCTAAACTCCAGAAGTAGGTGAGCAGGTGTGGGCATCCAGAGATCAGCATACGCAGTGTGCTGTGTTTATTCTCAGAAGTGGAAATTGGGATAGAAACCAATGACTTTATCAGTTGTTTTTTTTAATTCAGGGCTTGAATGATTGTATATATCTGATTTTGTCTATCAATTTCTCAAAATGTGCAACAAAAAGTGCAACCAAGATACAACAAATAAATGAAGAATAAGAAGCTGTTTTAATTTTTAATTTAATATATTTCTTTGATAGTGTGCAGTTCAATTTTCATTTCAGAACATCTTTTTAATAATAAAAATTATTTTATAAAACAATGTATCAAAATTGCTTTTATTTTAATAGCCCAAATAAAATATTTGTGCATGTATGCTTCTTCAGTTAATAAGCACTCTGACCATTATCCATTATCAATTGGATTAAAGCAACTGTTTTAATAAACCTTGAGTTTGGTTTGGCATGTGTATTTCTATAATGGATGTTAATTTTTTCCATATCTTCTTCAATTAGAAGTCCTTTGAAATAGAAATAGAATCCCTATGAGAGAAGAAAGTAGTTTTGTATTTTATCCAGTGGTGGCAATCTACTCCCTTCACACACAAACACGCATACTCAACACAATCTCTTTTTAATTCTTTAACAATAAGGGACTCAATTAATTGGTTTTTGGATAATACTTATGGTATCTGTGGGGATACATGCTCCATTTAATTGCTTATTTATCTCATAAGCATTTTTAATCCATGCAGTTCTATAATGGACAACCCCTCCCAAATCATGAAAATGAGCTCTTCCAAAAATATCCAATATATTTTGTGGTAAGGAAGCAAAAGATCAGGAATGAAGTGACCTGAGGTGATCATAGGAATATCATCACTGATTGAGTTCACTTCAATAGCATCTGCAAAAGCCTTCTGCTTGCATCTGAATGATGAAATCAGCATAGCAGCATGTGCATGTGACATCACAATGCACATACCAAAAGGTGAGGCTTGGTGCATGACACTGCTTGTCAGTCTGACCCCCCACTTTTCCATGGATGCCACTTATGGTTGGTTAGGGTTTATGGCTTAGCTTTTTAAGTGAACCCAGCCAACTGTGGTTTATTAAATATATCATGATTAAGCAAACCAGCATGATATATGACGAATCACTGTCCTGAAACAGTTCAGAACACATCAATTAATATCTTCAATGTTTGGAGCAAATAAATTGCACATGTCCTTTTCTTTATATAACAATTCCCTTAGCACATCTTTTAAACACATTTGCTATTTTATGAGCTATCTTGGGCACAATTTTGTGGAATAGCAACCAAAAAAAAAAATGATGGACTTTGTTTCTAATTTAAGAGTGTCTTTGTTACATGGATAAAGAGATGGTCTATACTCAAATAACAGTGAGAGAAAGGAGATATATTTTTAACAGACATTTTCTCACCCATCCAAAGATCTATCCAGAGACCTCTCAGGAGACCAGTGCCGGGAACGTTCAGGTGATGTTGTCCTTATCGTAGAAGTTAAATGGTATGAAGCTGTAAGACTCTGCCGACGAAGTTCTTGGACTGCACGTTCCCTAAAAAAAGTTTTAAAACCTATTTAAATAAGTTAGCACCAATACAGTACTTAATGTACCTACTTTCCTAGGCCCGGCACTTTCTGTCTCATAAATCTCAGAGGAAAATGTTTTTAAATTTTTATTTTTAAAAGGGACAAAAATCAATTCTTTCTAATTTTGGATAGCATGTGCCTAGATGTGGAAGTAAGGATAGCACAATAAGAGTAAAAAAGTAATTGATTCAATAAAAATATTTAAAACAAGATACAGAAGCTCAGATGCTCCACATTTGTGTGGCATTCAGAGACAGTTGGACTGATTGGAATTATATCAGTCCCTATTTAAAATGTAGGCCAAAGTTCCACCCTTAGCTCTCTATGGAATTCCCACTAGATTTATCCTTCAAACTGTTACCTTCCAATTAGTATAGTGTTATTGGTTACACACAAAGGCCAGAGGAAGGCAATACAGTATTCTTGCAGGCATCCTCAGCAGCACGTTTGTTTTTTCACAAATCGCTTCCATGTAAAGAGACTGCCAAGATCTGTTTTCCTTTTTCACAACTGCTCTCTCTTTAGGACTCTGGCCCATTTCATATGGTGGGACACTGCCTATCTTCAAAGCATCCTTTTCCCCCATTGGTTTCAATTGTGACAATTATTTTCGTTCCTTTTATTTCAGTTTACTCAATACAAGGATACACACATCCCATGGCAGGAGAAGCTAATGGGAAAGGAAGCTCAAGATGGGAGTTCTTAAGGAAGGTTACATTAAAAGCAAAATTGGAAAAAAGGAAGACTATATTAAAAGTACATATGGAAGCAGTTTCAATGAGGAGAAAAAAGGGAAGGAATAAAATAAGTCAATGTGGCTAAACAAAAAGGTTAGCAAAGTTCTGAAACCAAAAAAAGCTACATACAAGAAATGAAAAGAGGACCAGATCACAAAGGAAGAGTACAGAGTGGTAGCCCAGAACTACAGAACTGATGTCAGGAAAGCAAAAGCTCAGAATGTATTTATTTATTTAGTGCATTTATATGGCTGCCATCTCACATACATGACTCTGGACAGCTCATAATATTAAAAATAATAAAAACATATACAAAAATAGATAAAACCATAGCAGCCAGAAAAAAAATTACAAAGCCACAATCCAACACTCAACATAGCCAAGCAACAGGCTCCATCTCACACCCAGTGCCTCAGGCTTGAGCACAGAGCCATGTCTTCAGGGTCTTAGAGAAGGCCAACAGGGGCCAATCTGATCTCTGGAGGGATGGTACCAGAGGGTGGGTGCCATGAAAGAAAAGGCTCTCCTCCTGGGCCCCACTAGATGATACTCCTTAGCTGACGGCACCCGGAGAATGCACCTCCTGCCAGACTGGGTAGAAACAACCAGAAAGGATCAGTCCCATAATAATCTGGCCCCAAGCCATGAACAGCTTTAAATGTGACAACCAGCAGCTTGAGTTGCACCTGGAAGCACACTGATAGCCAATGCAGATTGCGAACCAGTTGTGTCACACGTGGCAAGGAACAAGCCCTGCTAATTGCCAGCCCTGCTGCATTCTGTACCAGCTGAAGCTTCCAAATGCTCTTCAAAGGCAGTCCCATGTAGAATGCACTGCAATAGTCCAATCTGGAGGTCATTAGGGCATGAGTGACTGTGAGTAGGGCCTCCTGATCCAGGAACAAGTTCAACTGATACACAATCTGAAGTTGTGCAAAAGCCCTCTTAGCCACAGCTGCACCTGCTCCTCAAGTCCAGGAAGACTTCCAGATTGCACCCTAGATCTGTCTGAAGCAGTACAACCCCATCCAGAACCAGAGGTGGAAGGTTCCCAAAACCAGGAGGTCCAAAACCCCACAGCCAATCGATCTTGCTAGGGTTGAGTTGAAGCCTGTTGCACCTTATCCAGATACCCAAAGCCTCCAGGAACTGGAACAGAACCTCCACGACATCACTCAGGTGACCTAAGGGGATATGTAAAGCTGGGTATCATCAGCATACTGATAGTACCTCACCCCAAACCATTGGATGACCTCCCCCAATGGCTTCATGCAGATATTAAAAAGGACAGGAAAAAGCACCAAGCCCTGAATGGTGGGGTCTAGCAATAGCTTCTTGAGGAGGGGTGAACTTAGGAAACTAAAATATAAAGGAAAGGTATAGGATAGGGAGTTCCTGGTGTGGTAACAGCAATTACATAGATAGGCTTAGAATAATACAGGTAGTCCTTACTTACCAACCACAACTGGGACTGGCAACTCCATCGCTATGTGGCGCAGTCATTAAGTGAAACATCACATGACTGTGCCAACTTACAATGTCAATTCTGGCTGTAGTCACTAAATGAATCACCATGGGTTGTTGAGTGCAATCTCACATGACCGCAACTTGTAACTTCTTGCCAGCTTCCCCACTGATTTTGCTTGTTGGAAGCTGGTTGTGAAGGTCGCAAATGGCGATCATGTGACCGCTGGATGTAAATGTATGCTGGTTGCCAAGCACCTGAATTGTAATCATGTGAACGCGGGGACACTACAACAGCTGCAACTTTGAGGACTGGTCATAAGTCTCCTTTTTCAGCGCTGTCATAACTTTGAATGGTTGCTGATTGAGTAGTCGGTAAGTGAGGACTACCTGTAGTTGATTGCAAACTGAATGAAATAGTGGTGTGTTTTAGCTGCAAAGATGACAAATGCAATTCTAGGCTGCGTCAACCGAAGTATAATTCCCAAATTTACAGATAGTAATTGTTGCATCTGTTCTGCTTTGGTTAGGTCCTCACCTCAAGTACTGTACCTATTTCCAAGCATCACACTTCAGAAAAATTGGATCAGGTTCAAAAGACAACAGCAACAATGATTAGGAGACTAGAAACTAAGTAGTACGAAGACATATTGAAGGATTTGGGTATCTTTAGCCTTGAGAAAAGATGACAGGAATATGACCACATTCTTCAAATACTTGAAAGGATGTCATATAGAAGGTCAAAACCTGACTACTCTTGTTCCAGCACAGAATGATGGGATGGAAAAGGAATTTTATTTGGGTTTTATTCAGAGCCAGGATGAATACCATCGGAGAATCTGGATTTGCGATTAAGAATATAGGAAACTACTATTTTAAGTCAGTTATCTACCCTAAAGTTATCTATTCTGGACACAATCAGAAATAACTTTTTTCTTTATAATTCTGTTTAAAAACCCAAGCTCAGCACTGAAATATGTATGTGTCATATAGCTATAGTTTTCCTCAACTTCTGTTTCATTTCCTCCACTGGATAACATTCACCCTACTGGCCAACTAAAATTGTATTTAGGTGATTCTAGACCTCTTTACCCAGATCTAGAATTACACCATTATTTTCTAGAAACACAATAAAACAGGATTTAATGCTGGCTTGCAATATAGGAAAACTGTCATTCTCTCACTGCTAAATTTAATGTAGAAGACAGCTTTATTTGCTTATTCAGTATTGGCCAAAGGATAAATAACCCATGTTCTACAGACCATATGCAGCCCACAACAAAGCATCTGTTCCACCAAAATTCAGCAACAAAATGGCCAATGCTTGACAACACAGTTTTTGCAGGTTCTTCCCTACCACCATGAAGCAAAGAAGGAGGAGCCCTCTGGAGGCATATCACTCCAATTTCTCCTTTTAAACCCCCCTAGAGAAATAGCTTGAAATCATGCCACTAGCATTCAGTTATTTGCCACTGAATTTTGACAGCATGATAAATAAACTGGTGGATACTTTGCATATGTCCAAACAGTGAAATCTAGGATGAAATTGTCTAATTGTATAATTTTAATAATTAAACATAAATTACATATACAGCACTATATTGAAATAGCAAAATAAAGTATTACTACAACACAGCAATTTAAATTTAGAATATGCAAAGTTATATACATTTTGATAACTGAAATCTATGATAGACTGTAGTCTGTCTTTTTTAAAACAACAGGATATATATATATATATATATATATATATACACACACACACACACACACACACACACACACACACAATCAAATAAG